TGACTTCTGCTCCTTGCTTTGCAAAGCGGCGGCGCTTCTGCTGCGGGAGGCGCCCTGGGGGGCTGACGCGCGTCTCCCTCCTTCACACGTGCAGGCGGGCCGGGCGGTGCCATGGCCGGGCTGGAGCTGCTTTACCACTCGGTGGCGCCGGACCTCTCCTGCCCGCAGGACGCCCTCCTCTGCTTCTTGCACTGGAAGCTCATCACCCACGACTACCGCTGCCTGGGCGTCGGCGACCAGGTACGTTTTTCTTTCAAAAGGAGAGCGTGAGGTTGCCAACGTCGCCTGGTCGGCAGGGCGCCTCTGCCTTGAAGCAGGAGTTGCTGCGCCACCGGCCGAGAGCCGGTCCGTTCTGGCGACGAGCGCCCCCTACCCGGATTGAGCCCCCCCCCCTGCAGCCGGGACTGAAAAGAGCTCCCTGCTGAATTGTTTTTTTTGGGGGGGGGGTAGGTGGCTGTTAACAAGAGCATAGGCACTTCTCAAAAAGAAAAAGTTGGCCACCCTTTGCCTTGCCTCATTTCCTGATTTCCTCCAGGGGGGAAAGCGGATAGGAAAGCTGGTGTTGCTACTCAGACCTCCTCGCTCTGGTCTTGGGAGAGATCCTGATGCTTGGAGCAGTAAAGCAAAACTAGAGTAGACCCATTTGAATTGCAGGAACCTACAGAAGAGTGGACCCCATGCAATTGACAACCCTAAGCCCCAGGATTTCAGCCATAGATGTCTGGACAGGTGTTTAAACCGGTCAGGCGTGTTTCATTTCAGGTTGTGGAGGGGGGGCAGGTCTCCCCAAAGAGTGTGAGGTTTTATTTTATAGGGTTGTGTGAGTTTCGGATCCCAACTGAAACTTGTCGCCCTCTCTTGCAAGAAAGGATTAAACATCGCCACAATTTTGCAAAAAGCACGAAAAGGCTTTCAAGAGAACGTCCGGACTCAGGTGAAGTCACTCTGACCCTCCTAGGTCAGTGCTCTAGGCTTCCTCGGAGGGCAGGGCCCTGTTTTTTCCCCATGACCACAGCTCCCAACAGGCTGGTTTTGGAGAGACTACGACTCCCAGAATCCCCCAGGCAGCACGCTCAGCCCATGACACCTTCTCCCCACCCCCTTTTAGAAATGACCTTCCTTGAGGCTTAATTCCTGAGGTTAAGACCTTTAAGGTAATATAATTGCTGCCCAGAGTAGACCTTGGTCTAGATAGACAGGGTAGAAGTCTAAAATAATAAATAAATCTCTTCATCTTGGGACTGCCAAGCTGGAAGGGACCCTCAAGAGATCATCTAGTCCAGCCCCTGCCGAGGAGGCAGAGTGCGGGATCGAACTCCCAACCTCTGGCTCCGCAGCCGGAGACTTAAACGACTGACCTATCCAGCCGTTCATGCGGGCCATTTTTTTTCCCCTCCCACCCCTCAGCTATGAATTAGAGTTGAATTATTCTCTTCAGGTGGAAAAACTTTCTGACTTTCATTACAATAGAGGTTATCTTTGGATGTTTTCGGGCTGCAGTTCCCAGAAGTCCTCGCCCTTGGGTTATACTGGCTAGGGATCGTGGGTGTTGTAGGACCAAAAATCACCTGGAAGGCCATAGTTACCCAGCCCTGTTTTCAGGTAAATAAAAATAAGGAGGGTTAGCAGAAAAGTGCACAAGAAATATCAACTGTTCCCTTTGCAACTCTGACCTTTATGTGAATTCACAAGTTCACAACAGGTTTGAACAGGGATTGTCTTCCTCATTGCCGCTGTCCTGTATCTAATATCTTTCTTGAGTGAGGATGATGGGCTTTGCAGTCCATGCCTACTAGATTAAGGACGGCTGCAGTCGAAAGTTCTGTGTAGACAGAAGTTCTGTGAAAAATAGGGCTTCTGGGGTCTCCAGTGGAGAACTCAGCATCGGTGTAAAACTACGTTTCCCAGGATGCTCCGGGCAAAACCGTGAGACTTCAGCCGTTTGATTTGTTACGTTCATATTGCTCCTTTCCTCCCTGGGGTGGCTAGCCGTCTATCTGGTGCCTTTCCTGTGTTGTACGTTAGGCTGAGAGAGAGAGCATGATCTACATAAGGTCCTCCCTCAGGGAGTGAGGATTTGGACCTGGATCGCCCAAGTCTTTAACCACCCTTCCTCTCTTAGGAAAAGCCTCTGTATAGCTTACACTGTCGTAGGGGAAATGAGTTTCCCTAGCAGCAGCATTAAGTGGCATTGCCACTAATTAAAGCATCCCCAGTTTGCATCTTCATTGCTCCAACTTGATTTCATTGCCCTTGAGTCACGTGTGACCGAAAAGAAAAGCAGTGACCCATTCATTAGAGGCAGTCTGCCAATGACAGTGTTTCCCGTGTCACAGAGCCAGTGGTCCCCAAACCTTGGGCCTCCAGATGTTCTTGGACTTCAGTTCCCAGAAATCCTGGCCAGCAGAGGTGGTGGGGGCTTCTGGGAGTTGTAGTCCAAGAACACCTGGAGACCCGAGGTTGGGGACCACTGGCGTAGACAATCTGCTAAATCTTCATGGCTGCCTATCCTTGGGGGAGGAAGGAAGAGAGATTAAAAATGCTCCGTCCTCTCCTTCCTACGCATGCCCCCCCCCGTTCTGTTCTTCTCTGGGGTGTCGTTCTACAGCCTGGGAGCGATGAGAGGAAATCGGAAATGCTCCCTGCGGGTTGGAACGTGGACAAGGAGCTGTACACGCTGCGCTATCGGCTGAAGGACGACTCTCGGGACCTGCTGGTGAAGGGGATCATGATGGACGGCAGCATCATCTTCAACGTCATGGTAGGAGCGCTGCTTCGTTCCCTGGGACCGGTTGCTTTCCGCTTCAAGCCGCCAAGGGCCAAAAACCTCCATCCGTCCCTCCATGCATGCAGCCAGCCTCTTTGGGTATTGCTCCTACCCTAGGATTCTGACCATGATTTCCAGACTCTTCTCTCATCCTCTTCAGCCAGCATCGCCTTATTTGTGTAAATCGTATGGCAGAAAAACATAGATCATGTCAGACTGCCCAGCGGTCTGCTTATTAAACATACAGCAGGACCACAGTATTCATGGAGGGTGGGTTCAAATCCACCCCTCCCCCTGTGGATGTCACAAATCATGGGTCAGTGAGCCCTATACAGAGCATGGTCTCTGGTTTCCTCTAGTGACCGGTTGTAGTAATAATAAATCTTGGAAACATGTATTTCTGAGGTTTTTTTATTTAATATTTTCAGGCCGTGGATAAGTAAAACTCTAGGTACTGATCTCATGGATATGGTGGGCCTCCTGTCTCTTTAAATCCCTTTTCTAGCCACTTGGGTCCCTGAATTATCCAGGTCTCATTTACAGCAGCTCTCCAGAGCCTCAGTTTGGGAAGGGGTTATTCCTCATGGCTTGCTTAAGAAAAAAAAGAAAGAAAGAAATTGCTAATAACAGAGAATAAAACTTAGGACATCCCCCCCCCCACCGCCAGAAAGCAGATGCTCTGCCACCAAGTTCCCATGGCTTCCTCATCATAATTCTTGCAATGTGCCTGTCTCTCCTTCTCTCCTTTTCCTCTAATTTTATGCATTAATTTGACACTGCTGAATCTTTATTTGAAAGCTGGGACCCAAACCATCTGTCCAAGAATAATGGGGGGGGGAAGAGTTCCTTTGATCATGAGCAGAGTTCGTTTTCTTCACTGCCATGAATGGGTCACCATTGAGGGAGGTTCTGAGTCGCTGTGAGGTTGCGCTTCCCCTTCCTGCTTTCGGAGAGCCCTGCTTACCCGCCGTGGCGGTCTCACCCTCAGCCCCCCACTGAGCACCGTCACTTTCCGTCCCCTCTTCCAGGATCCCAAGTCACAGAAAGTGGCAGATTTGACCTTGAAAGTGGCAGACTACATCAATCCGGAACACCTGGCTGATTTTGACAAGTAACTCCTGCTCTTTTTTAAAAACCTCTTAGGTATCTTGGCTAAGCTGGGAGGGGGCGGGGAGGTCAGGGAGAGAAGGGCCTTCGCGGTGTCAGAACGGAGCACAAACCAAGCCCTGT